TTGGTTGGCCTTTGCAAACTTGAGACATAAGGTGTACGAACCACACACAAAACTTCCTGGTTGTGGCAGCGGTCACCGGCTCGATCGGGATTCGAGGTGTATTGGGCACCCTGGATGTGTGACTCCGTCCAGAGGGCGTATGATCCGATGAACTGGACACCGGCTCCCAATAACTGCAGTTTTCACATACCGCCCCGCTGCCTTGTGAGTGAGGCTTTGGCTAGCCAAAGGCTCCGGTCGTGGATCCCTCAAGAAAATTCACCTGCCTTAGCCTGGGTAACCTGGCAGTATTCGGCCCGCTGCAAAAAATCGAACGTTTTTCTTGTTCGTAAAGATTATTGCACTATGATTTGTTAGGCCCGCAATTTGAATTCAGACGTGTGTGAAAAATATAAAATATATACTTGAGGCATCTGTGGCGCCGTCGCGACATCCAACTGTCCATGAAGAGTCGAGTATATGCCACAGCAGTTTGGCCAGTGCCGCTATACGGTGCAGAGACTGGACCACTGCGAGGATAGGATAAAAATAGATTGTCGGTGTTGGAATATTGCTGTCTGCGTCGCATTGCACGAGTCTGGTGGGGTAACCAGACGAGCAATGTTGAAGTTAGGCGTTGAGTTTTAGATAGTCGCTGTCGTCCACTGGAGCAAGTAGCCGACCTCCACAGATCACGCTGGTTGAAGCGTGTTACGCATGTCACTAGATAGGTTGCCACACCGAGCGATGTTTGCCGAAGCAGAAAGCGGTTGGAAAAAGGTCAAGGGCGGTCAAAAGAAAACCTAGCATGAGGGCATGAAAATCCTAACCATGAGACTGGGTCAAATAGGTCCCGTTAGGCTCCCTGGTTCGGGACCCCGAAATGACGGTCACCGATGGTTAGAGACATTGAGTGATATGGTTGTGTTGTAAACAGTGGCGCTCAAGCATCTACTCATTATTCTCTTAACACCAGTCCATACGAGTTCTCCATTTTCCGCTTGAATTTGCTTTCATCATTCCGATCTTCATGCTTCTCTCCAAATAGGCGCATGAATGGTTAATGGTTGTAAAAACTGAAACTGACAAGGCTGCTCGTCCACTTCTGCTACGTAACCCGAGCCCAGCAGAACACGAAAATCTTAATTGCTCTAACCACCTAAGGAAGATTGATGTGGAACAATCACTAAAACACGCCAACTCATTTGTCGATTTATTTTATTAATGGAAGCTATCCATGCCTCACGAGTTGCAAGACTGGTGCAGGATATTTGCATAACGAGTATTAACCGCATATGAGAGCGTCTGGAATTCGGAGGTCTTATGAATGATCAATCAGAAACCTTTTTCTGTCCCCAAACTTCATATCCCACTGCCAATAACATTCTGGCCCGACTAGTATCCGATCCATCATGAAAATTTTGTTGCAGAAAGGCAATTTCTCGGCAAAGATTCAAAGAACGAAAACAGACTAAACTGTTAATCAACACTCAGGAGTCGTTCAACACGATGTGTTTTCCCATACTTGATCCCGCCGTTTAGCGATGACCTACTTCGTATTTTGCCCTCTAAAATAGATTGTGGTTCCACGTCAGACCATATCAAACGTATCTGACACGAAACCATCGTCTGACGGGTCATCATAAACTCAAACCATTTTTTAGATCAATCCGTTCATTGTCTGAACGCATTTCAATGCTTAAAGCGCNTTTTCCCCCCCCCCCCTCCTCCCCACACTGGATCCTCACCTCAATGCTCATGACCGGAGCACACATATAAAAAAGATGCACTGCTGACCAGCATGAAACAGGACAAAAACGCGTTTCAGTGCTCTTCATCGGTTATGCGATGCAAGTATGTGACGACTGACGAAGAGCATTGGACACCTGTTTTGTCCCATACCCAAGACAATCAACGGTGCCCGTGAACGATCAAATGGAATAATCCTAACATGATACGCCAAATTCCTTGAACCATTCGCACAAGGTGAGGGCCGCCGATCCTGTAGCTCAGAAGTGAGGGCTTAGAGTCCTGACAGGGACGCAAAAAGCGCGCACTAATGACGCGTCCCAAGCGGGACGATACAGCTGTCCAGTGTTCTTCGTCTGTCGTCACAAATATTTCCATCGCTTATAAATGCATTTAACTAATGGGGAACCAACAATGTCCCAAGGAGTGAATCCCACACCCAAGATCACCAAGTGCCCATGAACAAACGGATGGACTAATCTAAACATGACACTCGAAACTGCACTCGCTCTCCTTTTCTATTTAACGCAGATATCTATCTGATTGTGGAAGCACCCTTGTCCTTTTGAGGATAGATGCATTGGTTTGCTCCCAGGTGGCACTGTCTGATCTGAAGTATGCTGACGACATTGTACTGCTAAGTGAAGATCCGGGAAGTTGTAAGCTCTTCTGGATAATTTAAGGGCTGTATTAGGCATGCGTGTTGCCCCTTCAAATTGTAAAATTTTGCTACAGGACTGGTTTGGCCCAGCTTTCAACCTCACTAACTGGAGAAGTAAGACGTAGTGAACAAATTCTGCTAACTGGGCAGCTACATTTCATTCGGCAGACGAACAGATGAATGGACGGCACGCATGCATAAGACTCGGTTGGCATTAGCCAACTTAGGACATCTGTCGCTTCGTCGACACATTCGGGTGTCTGTGAAAGGTTGGGGGCATGCTGCAGTAGGTCGACTAAATCTCCTATAACGCGCATGGACTTGACTATTACGAAAACAAGATAAAGAGAAACTCTGTGTTCGAGCATCGCTGTTTACTCTGCACTGCACGGGTATGACGGGGAAAACAGACAAGCAGTATTCAGATCAGGCTCAGCTTTTGGTAACCGCGGCCAACCACTTTTAGCGGGTGGTCGACTTCCATAGATTACGTTGTTTGGGGCATGTCACCTAACAGATTGCAACGGCGTGCTTTGTTCGCCAAAGCGGTAGAAAAGTCATGGGTGGTCAAACTACGACCTGCCATGATGGGACGAAAACCCTCATTGGGGAACTTGCTTACATAGGTCCAGTTGGGTTTCCCGGATAGAGACGTCGGGGTAATTGCGGACGAGGGTTACAGACCCAGTGATATACCTGGGTTCGGTCAATAATGGTGGTCACCCATCTACTTACTGTCTTTTCAAACGTAGTCTTCATGGATTACACTCCAGCTTAATAAGAATGGGGATAACCCCGTCAGATCTCCTGTGCTTCCTAGCGATTGATTACAACCTCCTAATTCTACTAAATAGCTTTTCAGTTCACGCTTCTTTTGCTATATACACGATGAGTTTCCTCTTTGAAATTCTACTTCTGATGGGAGCTTATATGTTACCATCGCAACAACGGCAGTAGCACCAGTTCAGTTGAACTGTCCACTGAAATACTCTATCAAGCGATAAAGCCGTTCAGTTAATGTGAACACTCCACCCACCTTCATCGCGAACGATTTTACTGACCGGTAACTGTCTGCATTGCAGCGTATCTGGTGAGTCTTTGACTCCTTTTATTACACACCTAAGTGTGATGAACAGCAGACGGGGTAAAATCCAGTCAGTGGTGGAAACCAGCAACCTGAGCCCCTGAACTTGTAGTGACGAACCACATAAGGCTCCGATAGGTAAGGCATGTTATGAACCGGACGATAGCAGAGCTGCCTACCACCAAAGTCGGGTGGCGGGGATCGAACCTGGGCCCATATGATCTGAAGCACGCCGGCGATAGCGACTAAACCACTGAGACCACTGATACGGAGGCTACTTCCAATTCGCGTAATAGAATCTGCAATTTCGTTACCGAACCACACCAACGGTAGCTAGCTGCTATGGTGTCAATTCGGGTTAACTTACCCGTTGAACTAGAACACCACGTTGCCGTCCGACGAGAACTGTACTGAAAGTCAGAGATAGAGGAGAACAACCGGTGATCTGGGCAGACCTCGTGAATTTAGTTGCCGTTACCTGTTCGCTTGGCAGGCAGTGGTAAACTACTTACAGTGCTACTCGGCAACAAGCCTTGGGAAGTCGCAAACAAGTTGTCTTATGGATCGTTAAGATTTCCAAATCTTAACGATCCATAAGACAACTTGTTTGGAAGAAGGGACACAGGAAAAGACAAGAAAAGACAAAAAATAACAAAAACTGGGGTGCCTGAGCAATAGCTCAACCATCGCCACCCACCCACCCCGTTTGACAACTGACAGTATGGAATTGTTTGATGTGTTCATTGGAGCTTTATGGACGATAAATACCAGTGAGCTATACCACCAAGCAAGAGGACGATTAAGATTATCATCCAAAACATCAAGTTCCGACAATAACCTGACGGTGAGGCAGCGGGTGAGTGGAGGCCCATCTGCTTCGACAAATTGGGCCACTTACCCTAGCGACTGAGACGCAAATTCGAGTCGAACCCCGACCCGGAGAATGGACTGTCTGACCTCTACCATTCGACNATTCCAGGCATGATTAGACCTTCGGAGGAAGCCATCTTGCGCAGACCGACAGGTCACAGACTTACACAAACCACCACAATTCAAGAGTAGTTAGCCACTTTTCACCGTCCACTCTATCCGTTGCAAAGCCCAATGCGCTGCTCGTTACTCTGCATGACATATGCAATACGGAGATTGTCCTAGTTTTCGCATCTATTATTGTAATGGACGGATACTCAACAGGAGAGCAGTGCTTAACCAAAACCCTCAGTCCTGACGAGAACCCAACCACANCCACAAGGTAGCGGATAGGGTGGAGACTACTCAGATCGGATCGGATGTGTCAGGTCAAACTCTTGCATTACCATGTTTCGCCCACCAGTTTCGAACGAGTTGGCATACCAATCGGTTTCTCACGAAATATTTACCATGTGTGATACCCAGACCAGTGTTGGCGAGCACCACTTAGTATGATGATCCACTGGCAGAAAAAGAACGAGGAACAGCAGTGAATAAACAGGAAATATATGTACAATGTTCTCTAGAAACAAGATAGTCTGAAAAGGGTCTTACAGGTCAATAATCTTCCGCTCCCTCTGGTGGTCGGCGAGCCGCGCTGAAAGGAGAAGTGTTGCGCTTGGAGGATTTCGTCGAGTGCTCGTACCGATGGCGATCAGCACGCCTGGACCGAGATCGTGATCTATCACTTCGACGGCGATCATCTCGACGATCGTGGCGAGATCGGTGATGACTGCTGTCCCGATGGTGATAACTGTATCGATGTCCATTAGATCGGGATTGGGGACTGAAAAGTTAAGTGGTACTCAGTGTTCACACTAAGAATACACAAAATTCGAGTGAGACTACGCCTAATAAAAACAGGGTATGCAGTGCAATTGTTAACCATGATTTAGATATTTGGAAGTTTCAAAACCAAAAATAAATACCTTGGAGTGTTGGTCCCCTCGGAAACAGGCGAAGCCTCCATTATACCTAATAAGCGGGATTAAAATCTGCAGTGAGTACCTGTTAGCTGCATAAGACTCCCAGAGATTCAATGTAAAGTTGAATTGGTAACCCTACAGCACAGCTAGCTACCATATTCAGTCTTGTCGATGATGCTTACCTGCGATCGTCGTGAGAACGGCGATCACGACTGCGTGGAGAGCGGTCAAGACTGGACCTCACCGGTCGTTTATCAAAGCGAGATGGGGACGGTCGCCGTTCGCTGAATTGTCTTAAATAATCCCGTATTTTTGCGAAACCAAGATGCATTTTTCCAGACAGATGTTCCTCCNTTGATACGGAAAGCGCCGCAAATTTCACACACTTCTAATTCCTTACCCTGAAATAGACCGCGTTACTTTGATTAATAGCACGACTTACCTGTGTCATTCCAGGACGAGCATCGCCTTCCAATTGGGATCTCTCTGACTTCAGTTGTTCGCATATCTTCAACACACCCTGCGCTTGATCAACCTTACCTTCCATTCCAAGGTCTTCGGCTTGCTTTACTAGATCGTTGATGCGTTTGGTTAGTGTAGCTATTTTCTCTTTCTTTTCCGAAGCGGCCAGTGGATCAGGGTTATTGACCGACTTATTAACGGCAAGACGTTCATGTCCACGTCGTATTCGCTTTTCGACGTCCTCCAATAGACGCTTCAGATATCGAACGAACTCCTCCTCATAGCCCATTTTACCATAACGCTTACTGCGTTCATACGCCTCTTTCATGCGCTCATCATGCGTTTTAGGACATGGACCGAGATCGGTCTTGGTATTGACAAACAACTCATGTGGACAGAAGCCGCAAAGAAAACTTTTGCAAACATCGTCGTCCGACCAGTGTGGACCGTTGGCATTTTCACCGTTGCACGCATTTCTATTTTTTCCCATGAGCTCATCCAGTAGCGCTTTCTGAGCGGCTAATGCCATCTTCACGAGCAATGAGGCTGTAAAATTACAAAGATCGACGCATTAACATCAATATTATCATAGTAATATAACAACTATTATACTAATACAAGAATATTTATTACACCGATTATTATATTGATCACTTAACATAATGCCATAACTTGCAAATGTAATAAAATACTGGAAAGCAAAGGTTTTTCTGTAATAAGGCAACTAAAAGAATTTGTTTGAAACAAAAGATTTCTTGGTGCTAGAATAGTAAAAAGACAGCGGTTTTGTTTATTACACACCTAAGTGTGATGAACAGCAGACGGGGCGAAACTCATAATCAAGAGAACCTGTTGTTCAGTGGTTGGAAGGACGGTAGGGAATGATGTGCTAACTTCTTTTCAATTCGCCCTATTGGCATTATTGTACAACAAAGTACAATGAAGTGAAATTCCCTGGTCGAAGTCTTGCTCATGATGCATGCAAGGTGAAAATGTAAGGCGGACATATATTGGGTGTTCCTGTGGGGGGAAATAGACCCTACGCTCAGTTTGGTCCAGTTTCATTTGTAGATGTAAGACACCTACTCTATTCTATGCATTTACTCTCATCCCGCTTCCATGTCATCTGATGATTGCGATTTCCTCCAGCCTGGAGCATCGACAGCGAAGGCATGGTGAGGGAGACGACAGTTAGACATTCGTAATACGTGTCCCGGAATAGCGGAAATCACGTTCCATGACCCTGCGAGCTTAACAGGATGACTCTCCACAGACGCAGATTCAACCATGCCTGAAGCTCTCACTATATATATATATATATATATATATATATATATATATATATATATATAT